GCCACCAAAGCCTACACACAAGCAGAAGTCGAAGCCTCAGTATTGGGTTAGATGATAATTAAAATTTAGGAATCCAGTACTGAGACACACGACCAGAAGATCCAACAGGCATATATCCACGTGCAAAATCAATTTTAGAATTTTCAAAAAAATTCCTCCGAGGCCGGTCTGACCAAGGGTGTGCAGCCGGTCTGACTGGGGGCCAGTCTGACCAAGGCTTCACCACCGGTCTGACCGGTAGTCAGTCTAACCGAGGCTGTTCAGCCGGTCTGACCGCGGGACCCACTGCGGTCTGACCGGTTTCCTCGACGGAAAACCGGATTTTTGCCACTTTGATTTTGCAAAAGCAATTTCTCTCTCCTTTTTCTGTTTATGAGCTAATCTGAAACAAAAACCAACAATATGTCCATCTTTTCCAAAAAAAGAACAATTATATTTTTTACGATGATTAGACACAATGGTAGCACTAGAAGATTTAGCAACACTAGCAACAACAGGAGATTTTGCATGCACAACATTGGATTTTGAAGAAGATGCACTCATAGTAGACATGATACCAGCAGATTTAAACACAATTTTGTTAGCATCAGGTTTAACCAAAATCTCACCACTTCTAGCACCAACACCTAACACAACAGGAGGATGTCTAGAACTATGAGCATAAGGATTAAAACCTAAACCACGGTTATGTGTGCTAACCTTTGATTGATCCAAAATCATGTTGAGGTTCTTTTTACCATCAGAAAATCTTATCAAATAATTTTTCAAATAAGAAACCTCCTTTTCAAAATTAGCACAATTTTCACAATCTACCATAACACCATTGCTTTTACGACATTTAGGGCAAGACAACACTTCATTGTTTTTCACAACATCTTCCATGAACTCAACACGACCAAAAGCATCTTTTAGTTTCATCTTATTCAAATTACATGTTGAGCAATCCAAAACATCATGAGGTTGTTTTAACTTTTTAGCAGAAATCATGTTAAACATCAAACTAGCATGAAAAGCAATTTGATATTTTTGCAACAATTTTTTAGTTAAAAACAACTCATCCAAAGTGCGTGTGTGCAAAGCAAAACTACAAGCAAGAGAAGATCTATTTTTCAAATCATGTGCAGCATTAACATCTCTAATTTTTGAAATCTCATTCATTAAAACCTCACAATTTTCACAATCATCATCATTAGGAATAAGAGATTTTAACCTATCAATTTCAGATTTAAGAGATTCAATGATAAATTCCTGTTTTTTATACATCTTCTCACACTTTTTATTTTTTGCACTCAAAATATTAATAGCTTCCTCAAAAGCACTCACCTCATTATCTTCATACTTTGTGTCAGATTCACCACGCACCATGAAGCAAACATCGGAGACGTTCTTTCCCTTATCATCATGTCCACTTTCACCATCTACATCACTTAGTGGCTCGAAGGCGGCACAAACTTGTTGAAAAGCCTTCCTAAGATTCTCCATCTTCCTCCCTTGGTAAGAACCCTTCGACTTGTTGTTGTTGGGCTTGTTGTTGTTGGTCTTCTCACCATCTTTGTCTTCTCTTTTGGCTCTCCCAAGCTTAGGACAATGCGAACGAAGATGATCAATTGAACCACATTCAAAGCAACGATTTGGACCACCTCTTTTCCTGTTCCTGGCATTATTCATACCTCGAGCAATTCTGTTAGCAACCAAGGCCAAATCCTCCTCCTCGATTTGTTCGAGTTGATCATCGGATGTGGCATTAAAAGCAGCAAGAAAAGACGACTTAGATGAAGAAGCATCAACATCCAAAGAGGAAGAAGAAGAAACCAAAGCACTCGATTTAGAATCAACTTTGCGAGAAAGAACATTCATCTCATGTGTTTTCAATTTAGTATAAAGTGAATCCAAAGTCAAAGTAGACATGTTAACAGACTCCTGAATAGATGTAACTTTCATCTCCCAAATAGACATGTCGAGACCATTCAAAAAGTGACGAGAAATCTCAGATTGTGGATAATTAGCATCGTAAGAAGAATCAACAGATCTAAGATCACTCAAAATTTTATTAAATTGAGAAAGATAGTCATCCAAAGCTTCTCTAGGTTTCATCTCAAATTTAATGTACTCCTTTTTAAAAAGATCTCGACGAAGCTCTTTAATGTTATTTGTTTCTTGATGAAAATTACTCAAAGCAACCCAAATCTCATGAGCAGTTTGAAGATTAGCAACACAATCATAATCCGAACGAGAAATACCACTCAAAAGAATGTTGCGAGCTTTGCAATTTTGTTCAAAAGCAGTTTTTTCAGCAGCAGTATTAATAGCTTCAGGAATCACATAAGCATGAGAAATTTTTCTCCAAATATCATAATCTTAAGCCATAATGTAAGATTGCATCCTACTACACCAATGAGAAAAATCTGTTCCATCGAAAACATGAGGCTTAATTGAAAACCTAGCGGGAGTAGCCATGGCAAAAGCTCTAGATCGATAAAAATCCAAAGAAGAAAACAAGGCTCTGATATCTCTTGTAGGATCGAATCACAAGAACTAAGCCAACCAGAGGGGGGTGAATGGTTGGTATACCCAAAAACCGAAAACTTTTAGCGGAAATAAAAGTTACCCTCTAAATCGACGGAAGTCGGTCTGACCGAGATTGATCTGCCGGTCTGACCGAGTAGATGCTGCCGGTCTGACCGGTGTTGAACCTCCGATCTGACCGCCGAAGTCGCCTGCCGCGCCTGTCGCCGCTGCCGGTCTGACCGCCCCTATGCCGTCGGTCTGACCGCCGCGTGTCGCCGGTCTGACCGCTAGTGCGCCGCCGGTCTGACCACCACTCTTAAAGTGGATGACGACTTTATTACTTCTCTCTATGTTCACAAAGTGCACCAACAACACTCCTTACAAAAATTTCGACAAAACTCGAAACCCTAACTCAAAACTCAATTCAATTGCTCTCTAAAGCGATACCGGGAAGCCTCATGCTTCCCCTCTATTTATACATGAGGTAGGCAGCCTAAAGCCACGAACCAAACTCATACTAGGAGTCCTAAACACCTTAGGAAACCCACTAGTACAAGAACGAAACTTTACATAACCAATCGTACCAAATTTGGACTCCTTCCAAATTCAACTCCGCATCCCATACGCACATAATAACTCCATCGTATGCCATATGGAATCTCCATCAACCATGTGCATCAACTCTAGCCTTAGTATCCCGCATGATCTCTGACCACCACGGACGTCGTCTTATCCCAAGCCGACTCCTGGTCCATCACCGCAAATACTCTCCCGAGACATCGAGTCACCTACACATGGAACAAACAAAGAAATCATATTCCGAGACCAAGCTATCTTCAACTTGACTCATTAGCAGCAAACAATAGTATTACATACGTATAGTATCTATCTAGAAGTCATAATCATGAAATAAACTCGGATATCCAAATAAACAACCCGAAACCGAAACCGACACAGTGTCGGCCGGTCAGACCGTGGGCTGGCCGGTCCGACCGCTCGATCACCGCCGATCTGACCGGCAAATACAGCCCGGTCTGACCGGTCACATAAAATGACAATCCTGCGATTCACCTGTAATTCCAATCATCTCCAAAACCACTTCGTGAATAAATTCCAAATAACAAAACCAATAATCTCCAATGCCCAATTGTTCATCACAGAATAATAATCAAAAGCACCTTTGATTTTACAGACCCTACCTAATTAACATATTAATTGCATGTCACATCTTTCTTGAATCTGGCCCACTCTATATAAGCTTCACTTAATTGATTAATTTCCTTAACCGAATCCATCAAGAATCAAACGGTTGGCGGCTGATAATTTCCATCAACTAACTCCAGGACTCTGAAGCCGATACTAACTCTAGGCCGATGAAGACTTGTGGGTTTATCAAATTTTGACATTAATAGTGGCATATAGTATAAAGTTCTCTAACAGATACACTGGTGGAGAAATCGTTTGTAGTCCCGGTTCGTAACCCCCCTTTAGTCCCGGTTGTCCAACCGGGACTACGAATCCGGGACTAAAGATAGCGATCTTTAGTCCCGGGTGAAATAACCGGGACTAAAGATCGATCTTTAGTCCCGGTTGGTAACACGAACCGGGACTAAAGATCGGTCAGCCACGTGGCCGGCTGATCCATCTTTAGTCCCGGTTGTTGTTACCAACCGGGACTAAAGATCTATGTACCATTTTTTTTTATTTGCATGGCCCTGTTTGCTGCATGGTTGATTTTATATATATATTTATATACATATATATATACATATATATATATATATACATATATATATATATATGCGTATGTATATATGTATAAATACATATATTACACACATATTTATAATTTAAAGCACTTAACATTTTATGTACATATATGTTACCAGAATATATATTAACACTAAAGTAAATGTACGTATATATATAAATATATATATATATATATACATGCATGTATAGTACAATTCATTTGCTCGCTAGCTATAGCTACGACTTCGACGCCTGCGTTACGTCAGAAGAGGAAGGACCGACGTTACGAATTGTCGATCCGTCGTAGTAGAATTCACCATCGGGATTAAGGACTTCTTCATTGATGAACCCCATCAGTTGTTCTTGAACAGCCATGATAAAATCCTTGTGTGGGAGTTTTTCCCTCATGTGAATACGCTATCATTCGAAAAATAATGACATATCAATATATGAAATTAATAAACAACTTAACAAATCGATACGCAATGAAATTTTGAATGGTTTATGTATACGTACATCGAGCTCTCGTGTGGTGTATATTTGGTTTGATAGGCAGTGGGAAAACTCGCATATGTAGTAGCCGCATAAGTTAGTTCCCTTGTCCTGCTTTGCACACTACATGAGAAACGATGAGAGATTTAATATACTCTTTATATTAACTGTAACTAGAGATTCAATTCAATATAATTTTGGATCATGCATGTACTCACTGGAAAATGAAACCTCCGTCCAAGTTTTTATTTCCAAGTCCCGCGGACCAATTGACGGAACCGATCCCAAGCCCTACATGTGCAGTTGCAAGCTATGATTAATTAAATATTACCCGAGATCAACATAATAGCAACAGAGTCCCGCGACTTTGGAATAGATGGCATTATATTACCTGTCTATCAGTTGGAAGACCTTGTCAAAAACCTTCTCCTCTTTATTCATTGAGTCGTATACAGTGACTCTGCATGCGTCCAAGTCGAAAAAGAACAGGACCCAGTAGAATCTGGAATATGCGTGAGATGAGATAAATATTAGAATGTACATGTGATATGTATGGGAATGAAATTTGTTCGAACGACAATAGAAACTCACTCTGTGTTGTACGGCAATAGTATGAACGTCTTGTAATGCTGCTGCGTTAGGAGATGGACGAGATTGTCCTCTGTGTCTTTCTCGTACTTGTCGAGCATTTCGGTGTTGATTTTCCGAGGGTCGATGAACCCAGTATCGTAAACCCTCCGCCGTCGGGCCCTTTGAATCTCCATTCTACAACAATGAAAGGAAATTATTATTGCTTACATATATGCCAGGAGCTAATTATTGAACGAAACAAATCGAACTCAAAGATACTTACAAAATCCATGCGCTCAGAAGAGAGACGTCGAGGGCGTCCCGATGGTACAGATCGAAGACATCCTTGAAATGGATCCATAGAACATCTTCTCCTTGCAAGAAGTCGGGGTTTCTGATCCTCGCGCCGAACATCTCTCTACCATTGGCGCTCATTTCTATGTACCGTTCATAGAATTTGTACATTTGTGTCGGTAGGGACTGCAGCTGCTCAGGGCTGACAAACGGTTTACCGAGTTCAAACTTGTATGCCACTTCCGCCTTCGGGATTGGTGCGCGTCCAACCAACTGAGCCATGGTTAGACCGGTGTCCGAAATGAAATCCGTTATGCCAAAGTCTTCGCCAGTCACCAACGGCTCGACCACTTGGTGTGGTTGTTCTCCAAGCTGAGGAACTGGTTTGGACTTCTTGTAATAGGCTTTCCTAAGTGTTCGGTCATAGTCCGATAGCTTTAAGGCCTCCTTGTTTGCGGTGGACATTCCCTTGAAGAAATTCTTCACGCTCGGGTCAATAGGTATCTTCTTTTCAGGACTCCGAGGCTTGAGTTGCCTCTTCACTTCTCCTGCCACATAAGCGTCAAGCTCCTCTTGACTGCAACCGTACGGCGGCTCCTTGTTTTTGGTGGTGTCAACTTTGGCCTTCTTCGTTGCCCTTGTGCTGGCAGGAGGTGGAGCTTGGCGAGACCTTGTCTTGGGAGGTGCAGGCGGACACGGAGGAGGAGGAGGCGGAGGAGGCGGAGGAGCCGGAGGAGATGGTGCAGGAGGAGACGGCGGAGCCGGAGGAGATGGTGCACGAGACTCCGCTTGTCGCCTAGGGAGGATGATGTACCGCTTGCGCCATAGTATAATGGCGTGGCTTGTGTCTCGTAGATGCGTCTCACCGTCTCCTCCTTGGTAGTCCAACTCGAGGTCCTCGTACACGGCTTCCACCAGCTCAACTTCGACCCTCGAGTATACTGCTGGAATCGGCCTGCAGTGGTAAGTCCCTGAAATGTCCGTTGGGATGGCCATTCCCGACGCCACCTTCACGTGATGAGAGGTTATCTATTAGTAATCAACCTAAGCAGCAACTTGCGGAACGTACGAGTCAAAAATCATATATTACATCGAGCATACCTTGATTGATAAGTTCTTGAAGGGAATATGCAGCTCACATGGTGTCCAATGAGTGATCTCATCAACGGGGCAGGTGGTTTCGTCCTGGGTTTGCATGGCGTCCATGCTATGTGATACTACCTGCCCCGTTGAGGCGCAGCTGCTACGATTGCCTGATGGGCTGACCATTGGAGGAGGTATGTACGGCTGGGGATCGTGTGACCGATCTGCTGCCATGCGTTCATCCACCTTCCGGGCCACCTCCTCTTGCATGCTGAGCTCGTAGCTCGATACCCTGTACTCAAGATCTGCAATCTTCGCCTCGGTATCTCTCTTGCTCCTCATCCGACTCCTATACGTGTGGATGTCCTCCTTGAATCCCATCTTCCAGGGAATCACGCCTTTCCCTCGTGTTCGTCCTGGATGCTCAGGAGTCTGTAGGGCGAGTGATAGCTCGTCCTTCTCTCTGTCGGGTCGGAACGTGTCCTGAGAAGAGGCTTCCACTGCGTCCGTTAGTCGATTCACAGCCTCGCGTATCTGATCGCTGAAGACCAAGGAGCCATCAACTGGGCTGAGCGTTCCACCGTGAGCATAGTACCAGAACTTCGATCGATCAGGCCACTTAGCGGTGGCCGGATCGATACCCCTCTCAAGCAAGCTTGCCTCCATCTCCTCCCACTTCGGCATCGCGACGCTATAGCCGCCTGACCCCAAGTGGTGATGGTACTTCTTCTTGGCGGCATTTTCTTTGTTTCTTTCCATCATCGCCTGCCCTTGTTGACCTGTCTTGTAAGCAACAAACTCGTCCCAGTGATCCCTTAGCTTCGGGAATACGTCGAAGTTCCGTGTCTGCCCCTTCAGGATGTATTTCCGGTACAGATCTCCCTTGCAGGTCTGGAACTGTTCTGCCATTTTCTTAAGAGTCCACTGTTTCACTATGTTCTCTGTACCCGCAGGGAGTGTGAACGTCTCGAGCATTGTGGTCCACAGCATCTCTTTCTCTGATTCCGGGACGAAGCTGTCATCACCCCCGCGTGCCCTTGTTCTGCGCCAGTACACCTTGCTGACAGGCACGTTATCCCTCACAACCCAACCACTGTGGCGTACAAAATTCTTGGCTGCTTGTGCCGGGGCACTAGGTCGGCCGTCTGCGTCCACCTCAGTTATGATGTGCCGACCCTCTATCTTCTTCACGGCACCTCGTTGTCCGCGTGCCCTCTTCTATCCAGCGGAGGGATGACTTCCACTAGCCTCCTCCTCGTTCCCCTCCGCATCCCTCTCCACGTTCCCCTCCTCGTTCCCCTCTGCATCCCTCTCCGCGTTCCCCTCCTCGTTCAAGTACTGATTTGGATCCTCGTTCCCCTCTTCTTCGTTCCAGTACTGGCTGCTTCCCGATGCGATTGTATCGTACAATATCTGTTCCTCATCGCGATCAGCCATCTGTTCATAGAAGAAATATTTGCTAAGCGTAATATTAACACTCTACTAATCATATATGCTAAGTCTAAGTGTCGTGTATTTGTACGGTATATAATCATATATGCTAAGTCTAATTAAGTTTCGAATATTACATCTCTAATAATCTTATATTAAATCTCTAACACTCACATATGCTAAGTCTAATTAAGTTTCGTATATTAAACCTCTAATAATCTTATATTAAATCTCTAACTATCTCTAACACTCAAATATGCTAAGTCTAATAATCTAATAATCTCTAACACTCACATATGCTAACTCTAATAATCTAATAATCTTATATTAGAAATCTAACAATCTTATATTATATCTCTAACAATCACATCTTTACATCACTTGCCTGCGCGAATTCCTTCGAGGGCTAGCTACCACTTCGGTTTGAGGGACGACGACGACGACGTCTTCTCTGCAACATGCAAAAAAATGTATTAGTCTAAATGCAAAGGAACATATAATGTATTTCACGTTTCCAAGTATATATAATCATATATATATATGCTAAGTTCAACAATAGTTTAATTATCTCGTTCGTACACATTTCGCTCGCGTTCGTTCTCACACTTTTAGTTCAAGTGCATTCATGTTCATTAACGTTTCAATCACGTTCGTTTGCGTTTCATTCACGTTCGTTCGCGTTCATTCACTAACACTCACGTTCGTTCACGTTTCAGTCACGTTCGTTCACGTTTCAGTTACGTTCGTTCGCGTTCGTTAAGCGTTCGTTCGCATTCGTTCATGTTCGTTCGCGTTCGTTCGCATTTGGTCACGTTCGTTAAGCGTTCGTTCGCGGCGGTGGGGGCACGGTCCGGCGCCGTGGGCCGGCCCCGCGGCGTGGGGGCGGCGGCTGCGTGGCAGCAGCGGCATCGTCTCGCGGCAGTGGGGGCGCGGTCCGGCGGCGTGGGAGCCTGGCGGCGTGGGGGCGCGGCGGCAGCATGGGGGCCCGGCGGCGTACATCGGCGTCGGCTTCGTCGGCGTTCGTCGGCGAAAGAGAGAGAGGCAGAGAGCTACATCGAGATAGAGAGAGAGAGAGAGGGCGGGGGCTCTCACCCAAGAGACGCGGTGGCGGCGTCTGCGGCGGAGGCGGCGAGGACCGCCAGGCGACGGTGAGAGATGACGGCGGCGTCGGCGCGTGGTTGCCCTAGGCAGTGGCGGCGAAGGAGAAGCCGATGCTCGATCTCGATGGAAAAACGTCTAAGTGTTGGTGGAGAAGACGAGGGCGCACCGGGAATATATATACCCCCGGATCTTTACTCCCGGTTCTTCTCACCAACCGGGAGTAAAGATATTTTCCCGCTATTTCCAAATTCTTTTTTAAACCCGGTTAGGGTTAAGAACCGGGACTAAAGTTAATAGCACTGAATATTGAATTTCGTTGCATATATGTTTCTAAAATAGTAAATAATGCTTTAAAAATTCTAATCAAGATATGTAAATCCCACATGCATGATTTAAAACTTTTAAAAATTATAATAATCATATATAATTAGCATATGCATGATATTAAATTGTTAAAAATTGTAACTAACATATGTAAATCCCACATGCATGATTCAAAACTTTTAAAAATTCTAATAATCGTATATAATTAGTATATGCATGATATTAAATTGTTAAAAATTGTAATTAATCATATATAACTAGCATATTCAATACATCCAAAATAGTTTACAACAATTACGGCAATAGATCGGCGGTGACGGTTGTCCGCACGTACTTTCTCCTCACTATTGTTCCTTCCTTGTGATCGCTACGTAAGTAAGGGGTGTCTTCGTTTGATAGGAGGATGCTAGGGTCAACCGTCACCGTGAAAGGGGGTTGCCCATTGTCACACCCTGAAAATTCAAAATATATAAATTGTTGTTTAAATGGAATTTTTAGAATTTATTTTAAAAGCCTAGAAGAGAAGATCTAACTTTTAATTAATAAATTCCAATATAAAATGGGGCCAGATAAAATTTCATTAAATACTTTGCTTAATTCTATAATTCCTAGATTTTTCTGGGATTTATTTGAGCTAAGGAAGTATTTTTAATAAATGGAATTGCATTTCATGAATAATTTAAATTGAAAAAGGTTTTAAAAAGTCTCTTTTGGCTTTGGGCCGAAAGTCGGCCCAAAACCGCTCTCTCTCTCCTCGGCCCAGTCTGGCCCAGTCCGCCGCCGCGCGCGCGAGCGTCCGCCCGCTGACAGGTGGGGCCCACCTGTCAGGGTCG